CCTCCTCTTCCCACTTCTTAATAATTCACGCTTCTTCTCTCGCCTTTTACTCCTCACTTACCCAGTCAACAAATCAAAATGCAATTCTCCACCGCAATAATTTCCCTCGTGGCCATGGCCGCCAGCGCCTTTGCTCAAACCACTGCCACCACTGCATCCTACGACGTCACCTACGATACGGCGAGTCTCTCTACCCTCTCGATCGCCTGCTCGGATGGTACAAACGGCCTCAACTCGAAGGGCTATGAGACCCTAGGCTCTGTCCCCGGCTTCTCTCTTGTCGGCGCAATCGAGACCATCGCCGGATGGAACTCCCCCAACTGCGGCAAGTGTTATCAAGTCACTTACACCGCTACCGGGGCTTCGATCTACATGACCGCTGTAGACCGCGCTACCAGCGGGATTGTTTTGAGTCTGGCGGCGCTTGATGTGTTGACTGGTAACAATGGGAAGGCTTTGGGACGTGTGGACGTTACCTATGTGGAGACTGCCGCGACTAATTGCGGGTTTCCTGCTTAGGGTATTGATCTCCTCGTGTGCGGGATGGGGTTCTGGTGATGCTGAGGTTAACAGTTTAATAGGGATCGGTGGTGCGGTGAAAACTGGGCGATGGGGGCATTCTAGTTCGGAGATAATGGTACGGTGGTTGTTTCGGATGGCGTAATAGATTGAGCTGGAGAGCATATTCAGGGAGTTTAAAGCGTCTTTTACATATATACCTTCCTTTCGTGGCATTCTCATGTTTCCCTAATCTAGTTGTATTTAATAAACTTTATACCTAAAACCCAACTGTCAATTATTCCATGAAGAATTCCCAACAAGACTCAATTCATGAGTACCCAAGTGTGTCTATCAAAGCCCGGAGCTACAACCCTTGCCCCAATCAAGATTTTCTCGGAACCAGCAGGGATAGTTTTCCGATTTTTCCTGGTACCCGAGTATCATAATAATCCGCTTGCAACAGCGAAATACAGATCTATGGAAACGCATGGCAGCGTCCTTTCCCCGGCGGGGACCAACTCCAGATCCTAATCGAGGTTCGAGCTCGTTGTATACAGGGTAAGGGGCAACGATCACAGATTTGGATTCGATATCTGATGTTTCAGAAATACCCCTCCCTACTGGGCTCAGGTTACCCCCCTCCCGCCCAACGTTTTAAGAGAGATATTCCCAGATGTATGATATATCGGAGAATTTCTAACCTTCGCTCTCGGATCCTCTGAGCAAAAAAGTCCCCATCACATCATCCGTAAGGCCGGCTTAACTGGCGTAGTTTCCCTGAACATGAACAAAAGCGTGGCAAAACTTCTTCACTATAGTACTCTTCGTATCATTACCCCTATCTTATGATATCGTATAAGAATTCTATCTATGTCATGGCATCTCACTCGCCCAGCAATAGAGTTCGAAATTCCATGTTTGCATGGCGTGCAATGTGGTATAATAGTATCATATTATACGATAATATACGGCGAACCCACCGTGAGCTGGCCGAACTCCGTTTGTACAAACAAGCTGGTAATGATAATATCTATCGAAAATGTGTGTATGATAGTGGAAGGCTTGGGAAGTTAAAAAGCAAAAGCGCTCGGGGGTTGTATCTCAGAGGGGAACGTATATAATAGTAACCCAGCATCAAAAACTTTTAGCTGCGAAGGGCAAGTTTTGCCGGGACTGTATAGTCCGGTAAAAATCGATATCATACCCGGGGTGGTGGGGGAAAAAATAAATATGATAATAATTATTATACCAGTGAGCAAGTGCGATATCATATCTCAAACTCTGGGAGGGGTTTATATGAATTGCGCCCCCCCCCCCCCCCGCCCCGCAACCCGGGGTATATACCGCCCCCAAACGGAAAAGGGGTTTTTTTTTTTTCCCCCCTCCCAGAAAGCGCCTCCGCTCCCCATCCCCTATAATAACTGTATGGGCCCGCGAAAAACCCAAAAAACCAAAAAATTTCTCTCCCTCTCCCCTGTGTGTGTGTGTGTGGGGTTTATCGGAGGAAGGAAACCTACCTTTTTTCCCCCCTCTTGGTTGGAGGCC